CCAAGCCAGAAGATATGTCAGATAGAGTGCCAGAAGATATGCCAGATAGAATGCCAGAAGATATGCCAGATAGAATGCCAGAAGATATGTCAGAATATATGCCAGAAGATATGCCAGATAGAATGCCAGAAGATATGTCAGATAGAGTGCCAGAAGATATGCCAGATAGAATGCCAGAAGATATGCCAGATAGAATGCCAGATTGAATGCCAGAAGATATGCCAGATCATATGCCAGACGATATGCCAAATAGAATGCCAAATAGAATGTCAGAAGATATGCCAGATAGATATGCCAGATAGAATGCCAGATATGCCAGATAGAATGCCAGAAGATTTGCCAGATAGAATGCCAGAAGATATGCCAGAAGATATGCCAGATAGAATGCCAAATAAAATGTCAGAAGATATGTCAGAAGAGCGGTTGAGGTCCGGCAGGGACCACTGGGCGCGGATGGTCGCGGTTGAGGTCCGGCAGGGAACACTGGGCGCGGATGGTCGCGGTTGAGGTCCGGCAGGGAACACTGGGCGCGGATGGTCGTGGTTGAGGTCCGGCAGGGAACACTGGGCGCGGATGGTCGTGGTTGAGGTCCGGCAGGGAACACTGGGCGTGGATGGTCGTGGTTGAGGTCCGGCAGAGAACACTGTGGATCGCGGGTCGCAGTTGAGCAAGGACGACGAGGACGACGAGGACGACGAGGAGGACGAGGAGGAGGAGGAGAGGAGGACGAGGCAGGAGGAGGCGGAGGACGAGGAGGAGAAGGAGGAGGAGGAGAAGGAGGAGGAGGACGAGGAGGCAACTGACATAAAATCTAACAACCCTCACCTGGCAGGTGGGGAAAAATGCATTCCAAGAATAGTTAGGTAAAATGATATAATATGCTGGGTCTAATCCATAATAGTTCAAACACATATCCCTAAAAATTTCAAAAACATCAGTTAGTAAATATACATCAGTCATCAAATATATATCATGACATTCGCCAAGGTTTTTAATGTTAAAATGTTTCCATACAATATTTGCTCTGGCGTAGTCTTTGTCAGTTATGTTTTCTTCATATAATTTACTGTAAAAGTCTTCTTTCTTTGGTAGTTTTGTTTCATCAAACTTATTCCATGAATTCATGTAGTCATAGGGATACACCCCTTTCTCAGTTAGTAAATTCAAATCAGTTTTGGATTTAATGTATGGGTTAGTGCTTGTATATCTAAAACGAGTTTCCCAGTCTTTAATCTTTTCATTTCCTTCATATTTGTTCAGTCTAACTAATTTATCTAATGATGCTGTTAAGAAAGCAAAACTGTCTTTAAACTGACAAGCGCCAAATGAAAAGGTTATGAACTTTTCGCTGTTTTGTGCTATTACATCTATTCTTTTGTTTTGGTTTAGTTCTATGTTTAGTTCATTTGCTTTTGCTTTGATTAAGTGAGCATCATAATTTTTAAGATTGGAATTTCTTATTACATATAGAGCAGTGGGTTGCTTGTCTAAATTCTGTCTTTTGTTCGTAAGTTAATTCATCCATTGGTTTATTAACATTCATCTTTTCAAATATATCTTTCTTAATTTCAGTCAGTTGTTCTACAAACTTTTTCATACAATCCTCACCTCTGTATAAGTACGGTTGGCATGTATTATCAATTATCAATCCTGCTTACTACATATAGCATATAACCACATGGTTTATGTTCTTGGTAAGTTCCTCTGGGAGCACTGCTTCCAGAGCAACTTACGGCACCTTCGGTGCCGTAAGTTCCCTTTATTTCTATGTTAGAGTTAGTGGTTAGACATTCAAAATCACCGTAGATTACAAAAGGACAAGGCAATTTAGTATTATGCTTTTCAAATTCTATGTATGTGTCTTTATTTGGCATCTTTGTTTGTTGTCCTTCTGACGCCATACATCCTTTTTCAAGATGCTTCTTAAATACTTTTTCTGATTGAAATGGATTTAAGCAATGGTGGCAGTAAAACTTTTTATTAGTGTTGCTACTGCTCTGACAGTTTAGTAATCTAGATTTGTTTTTTACTAATACGTAATGATAGTTATTATCTTCATCATAGACTTTTAATAAATCTATTTCGTATTTAGCATTTCTATTTTTAGTGCCTCTATGTAATATGATTTTGTTGTCATTTAAGCTGTCATCTGGTTCAAAAACATTTACTGAAACTGATTTATTATTCTCTTCAAATCTGTCTATGTCCCTATTACCAGTTGGAAATTTTACACCATCCCAGTTCAAAATATCATCTTTGAGTTTATTATAGTGGAACATTTCCTCTGGGTGATGTTTGCTTATTTTGTCATAGACTATGGATTGAATACAATATTTGAAGCATTTTTGGTCTATATTTTTAATGTTGATACATGCCTTTCTTAGTTTAATCCATTCTGGTAATTCAATGTATCTCCCTGCTCTTGTTGGGTCATATCTGTCATAGTGAATAGTTATTGATAAAATCTTCTTAAATCTTAAATTAGATGTTGAACCTTCTAAATTTTGTATTTGTAATCGGATTTGAATAACACTATCTTCTAATGCTTGTGTCAGTTCATCCTCATTACTAATATTGAAGCGGGTTGATGGTAGGGCATATACAAGTTCCTGACTTCCCAATTCATTTCCTCCATCATCATATTCAGGTTTTTCAAATAATCCTTCCGTTCTTATATTAAGTTTCAGGCTTCTATTATTTCTCAAAAAATCTGATGGTCTTTGTTTTTGGTGCGCAATTTCTTTCTAATCCCCTTTCTCCTTGAAAGTGCTTGTTTTCCAAAACTATTGAATTAGCGTATCTTCTAAATGCTGATTGAATATCTCTGACCCTGAATGTTTTTTTTTTTAATAGTGTGTTTGGTTAGTAATAGTCTAACCCTTTCTCTACTTACAACATCCGTTGCCTTTTTCATAGCATAACTTCTGTATTCATTAGTGTTCTTTACTGATAGTAGTTTCTTGGTCAAAACATTTGATATGGGCTTGTCTTTGTTGTATCTGAACTTTTTTGTTGTCTATGATTATGGACTTCAATTCTTTTCTTCCTTTTTTTGGTATTTCTGCTAAATCATTACTCAATAATTAAATAGTCTATAATTTTTTTCATCATATAATAGTATATATTTTATTTAGTTAATTTATCTTTAAGTAGTTTTTTAAAGAATGCTTTATTCTAATCTTTGAATATATACTTAAAGAATAATTATTTAAGTATATTTGTAGGATGGATTGTGCGAAGGATTTACCCATTGATGTGTTGAGTAAAAGTGCTTCTTAAAAATTGGAGACCCTAAATATTTGAAGTTTAAATATTGTCATATTGAGGCATTAAAGAGAATACAAAATAAGTATAAGTTTTCAAGACCTGGTTCTAAAATAACAAGACATTTGAAATCAAGAAAAAAGATATATATATATAATTGAATACTGTATTATGAGAGAGGGAGTGCCATTTAGTTTAAAAAGTTTAGAAGACATAATATCAGAAGAAAAGGAATAATTATTATCTTTAATTTATGAAGAAGTAGAATATTACTTAAATTATAGAGTTACACATGATATTGAAGTTCAATTAGTGGCAAAACTACCAGATAAAGAATATGGTGAACATGAATTTAGTTTTAGGGAAATTTACTTTATGAATGGCTTTGATGAATATGTAGATGAAGATAATATAGACAAAATATTAAATAAAGCAGTTGAAGAAATAAAAACCGATATAAGAAGACCAAGATAAAGATAGTATAACAGGAATACAAGCATTTCATTTTGAATTGATAATTATTGAAGAGATTTACTACTAACATATTTCTAATAATATTTATTTATTAGAATTATGGATTTGTAAGATAGGGTTATTAAAGGGTAGGGAATAATGCTTATTGTTGTCTATTGTTTTGTTTTTATTGGTGTTCTTTGCTTGGCTTGTTTTTGTTTGTTTGGTTGTTGTAGGAATTCTTGGAAAAGACATTTAAGAAGATAATCATATTTATATGTAATTGGTAAATTTTGTAGATACTGTGTTAAAGATTTACCAATTGATAATTTTGAAGATGGATTGAAGACTTGTAAGAAATGCTTGGAATACAAGAGAAAGAACTATGACAAACATAAAGATAAAGTGAATGAAACACGAAGAACTAAATATAAAGAAGATGAAGAATATAGAAAAAAGAAACAGGAACAAATACAAAACTATTGTGATAAAGTTGCCTTTTGTAATGTATGTAATTCATCAATGAAGGCACAATGTTATTCAAGACATTTAAAAACAGAGAAGCATAAAAAGGAATTTAGGAACGGTTGATGAACAGGATTTTGTAAAATGAATAAGGTAATAATGCGTTTGACTGCTATGATTTTGAAAAATTAATGAGGTAAGTATGCTTTGACAGCTATGATTTCGAAAAATTGAATGAGGTAATTGTGTTTTGACTGCTATGATTTTGAAAAATGAATGAGGTAAGTATGCTTTGACTGCTATGAATTCGAAAAACTGAATGAGGTAATTATGTTTTGACTGCTATGATTTTGAAAAATGAATGAGGTAAGTATGCTTTGACTGCTATGATTTTGAAAAATTGAATGAGGTAATTATGTTTTGATATTGTTGAGAAAAATGAAGTAATCAACAATATTTAAACTGACTTTTTGGACTGTTATGTTTTTTTTAATGAATAAATTTTGATTTGCTATACTGCTATGATATTAGTTTAGAAAACTTCACTGAATCAACTTTTTTTACATTTTTTCCCCCCGCTCTGGCCACAGGGGGGGGAGACCATTGGGGGGGGAGGCCCTGGGCACAGGGGGGGAGACCACAGGGGGGGACCACGTTTTGATAGTGATAATATGTGATAATGATATATAATGATGATGCAGCTTTGATAAAACATGATAAACCCGTGTTCCTGTTGCGGTTGTTACTTTGCTATACGACCTGTCATTCCACAGCTGTGAAGATGGTACTCAGCAAGATGGTGGCTGTAGGTTCCGGACGTCAGTGAGTGCCTCTAGCCTAAGTTGTTCAAGGCTTCTTCAACCAGTGAGTTTGGTTTGATTTAGGTGGAGAGGTTGGCTCAATTTGTCTGCAAAGCTTGGGTGAGTCCAATGCGTTGATTCCTCTTTAGACAACTTTTGAGGATGTCCAAAAGCCCGAAGGGCCCGGAAATGCCTATGGCCTATGGCCTTGACTCGTCAACGTCGAAGATGTCTTATCCACATGACAGCTCGACGCAGCTTGTGACGATCTGATCTCTTCAGACACAAAGCGCTCTCCAACACTTTTACCCTGAGGCCATGACTTCGGCCCCAAGGCCTCTCGGACACATTTCATGATGTACAAAGAAGAATCTACGAAATGCATCTAAATACCAGCTGTTGAAGCTATTCAGTGGGAAACAGCTACCACTGTAACTAGGGCAAGAAGAAAGCTGAGAAGCTTGTTTGACTAGATTGATCTATGCAGATTGTTTTTGTTCCAGAATGATGCCTGGCCGCATGAAGATGTGTGACGATTCTGCTCACTAAGTTCACAAGATGCGGTCCACTGGTCTTGTTGCACGTTGCAACATGCTGCCAGCTGCCGATGTTCTGGTCACGCCTCTTTGGCCGCCTGCTCACAGCTTTGCCACTTTTGCAAGCTGCTCACCAAGTCCTTGACCGGTGCCATGGTGCATGGATGTGCATAATGAGTCAGCATACTGTATCGGCTGTATCTGTATCTCTCTCACCAGTCAATATGGCTTGGTATCCATTAGTCCAGTTTTGATTTCAGACGCTGTGTCAATTTACAGAGAATCCGGACAGAAAAATGACCTGCTACCATCGATGTGGGCACCATGTTGAAATATGTTGAGCCTCTGGGGTCATCACCCGGATGGCCTTTAGCTCTCTGGTGGGCCAACCCAGACCTTGGTCGGAATGTCATGCTCCAAGACACTAAGGTACGGAAACAAAATCCCACAGATTTTGCACGAGCAGCTGCAAGAGCACGGGTCTCAAATGGTATGAATCTACAATGATCTACAATGATCTACATAAGTTACATAAGTTTTAAAGCGTAGCTAGCAATGTATGATTGAACACAGCAAAAAGAAGCTGAATGAAGCTGTGCTCCCCAACCCTCAAGGTCTTGCTCAGTGAGCCTGAAAGCACTCCGCTCTAGGCTCACTATGTCCATGGACGCTCACCGATGGCTGTACAATCGGCAGAGCTGCAAGTTGCGTCATCTGCCGCAATCATTTCACACCGACACGCTAACAACATCAAACACAACATGAACCTCCAATAGTAAATCTATGTAAATCTGCTTTGTTCGACGGTTTCATTAATATTATTAATGATGTCCACTTGGAGGCACAGTATCCGCCTGGAGGCTTCCAGGATGTCTTTGGCTCGCTTGAGCAACGCTTCCAACTCCACTGGGTGAGCCATTGGCTTCTCCTGGCTCTCCTGCCATGGCAGCGGTCTCCGAGTCTCCGAGCCAGAAAACTGTCAGCCCTCCGGTCTCTGAATGGTCTGAATGGTCTGAAAGTTCTCTGATAGATCTTGCAGATCAATGAGCTCAGCCAAGTGGGATCATGAAACACACTTGAAGCCAAGCAGGAATATCTGGTCAAAGCTTCCAACATAACGTGCAACCAGAGCTGCTGTGATAAGGGAAGGTGGCTACACTTGCTGCCATGGCTCCTTGCCCTCCACCATGGCATTCACTTGAGGGACAAGTCCAGCTACCTGGTGAGAAAAACAAATCTGCCAGGAATTCGGGATGTATTAGTCAGTGCGTAGCAGTTTGTACACATCTCATGTGGATCAATCTTGGATTTCAACCAACACATGGTTCATGTACATGCGGTTTGTGCATGTGTAGAGCGAGGACGGCAACTGAGCAGGAGAAGTAGAGTGGCCCTGTCTAAGAGTTTGGACTTCGACACTCAGGCCTCAAGAGAGTCTCTTGTCTCGTGGTGGACTTCTGTGAACAATCTCTACCCTCTGGTAATGACTAACATAGCTATTGAAAATCACCATTTTTAATGGGAAAATCCACTATTTCTATGGTGATTTTCAATAGCTATTTTGACATAACCAGAGGCTATCCCATTCTGAGTCTTATCCCTGGAGGCACCTCCGCCGCCACCTCTTCGAGACGACTTTGCCTACAAGTTGCTGGAGAATCAGTTGCTGCTGCTAATGGGTTAATTGATGTGTATTGCTCATGATTACTCCATTTTAATCTGTTAGTGGTTAGCTAAAGCTTCTCTGGTTTCAGTTGCTGGCTGTTCAGGGTTTCTACTAATTTCATCCTCACAATAAGAAAACCAAAGCTATCCTAATTTGCTAAACTTTGCACACTACCTGACCTGCACAATAGAAAGATAGAACTTCCTCAGATCTAGAATCTAGAGGCCTGACAGTTCCACGAGCTTTGGGAAAAGGCCTGGGAAGCGTGGTGAAATTCCACCAGGGGGATGCATTCGCTACCTTTTATTGATATTGTGATCTTATCACATGTTGCAGTATGTTATATATGTTATATATATTATATATCATATTCTTATCTCCATTCTGCAGCAAAACACAATGGATGCGATGCATGTGACTGATCAAACATGAATTCTGGGTGCTGAACTGCTGCTGCTGCATGTGCTCGGAGTATTGTTGTTGCTGGACCAGTTGCAAGGAACGCTCTAGCTCCTGCCTGAGTGGGAGAATAGAAAATTGATTGTATAAATGAGCCTGGCTGGATCCATGAAATTCCCACCATCAGTGACTGTGCAAAGCAAGATGACTCCGCAATAGCGACTTGTTCCAGGCTTCAAAAACTCTCCAAATCATACTGTAGGAGGATTGCCATCCTACCCATTTGCAGCACCAAAAAGCAGCAAAAATGTTGCTAATCACTGCTAGTCAAACAGAAGGTGGACCTACTGATTGACATGCAATCCTCCCGGATCTTGCAGAACTTCCCGCTGCGAAAAACACCACAACGTGGACCTACCGTTCATCCGGGTTCCCCACTGCATGGCAATCTGAAAGGCGAGCTCCGGGCCCTGAAGGAGGCTATGGAGGCTATGGAGGCTGAAGATAGTGCCAGTAAGTCTGGTCGGAAAAAAAAAAACATTGCACCGATGGATATGGAAACTTTAGATTCTGCATGATTGTGCGGTTTCAAAAAATGTTCAGCTCGGATTCTGTCTTGAGAGAGAGCTTAGAGAGCTTAGAGTCAGAGTCCGTGAGAGTCTGCGCGCTTTCAAAACAGTTGTGGTGTCTTGTGACCCTTCGTCTCACGGACACATTGCCTCCTGCTTTGGCGCTTGTATCTCTGGTGGAGGCCTGGTACCATCAAAAGTCAGCTGTGCAAACAGAGACATGGGGGCGGCATGGTGTGGCCATCTCATCGATGTCTGCTGCTTCACAGTATGTTATCCGCACTGCAGAATGAAGCAATGTTGAAACTTCTGTCTCAACTTATAGATCAAGGGCCCCTGCACTGACTGACCATACGGACGGCTATACGTCCGACTGCTTGTGTTCAGCAAGTCCTGCAAGGGAGGCTCGTCGAATTTGGGAGGCTTCAAGCTCAAATGCCAGACACAATTTTTTTTGCTTCGGTCTGTGCAATCTTTGTTCAATGATGCTCCTGAGCACAAGATTTTGCAATTAAATTCCCTGCTTGCTCCCAAGAGTTTCCATCCGACAATCCCCACTGCCCATCGTCCCTGCGTCCTCTGGTCGAGGCACACCTGCAGAAAACTGCAACCCCCCACACCCATCCTCCACCCAAACAATCTCTCCCTGCCTGGGTCCGGAAGGCGCGCGGGTGCCCACGAAAACCTATGACTAAAGACATGGGATGACATAGGGGCCGGGGCAAAACCACAATTGCAGCTGTTCAGTGGTCTTCATCGAAAAAAAATAGTATTCTAGTCCTCGCATATGGAATGGTATTGACTGATCCCCACATTGGAGATTTCATCAAATTCAAACTGCCACCATCCGTCTCTCTGATCTTCGTTGAGCAGCTCCAAAGATTCTCGAGGACCGCCTGCCCCAAATATGCACGGTGGTGTTGCATCAAATGACTATGAAACGGCTGCTGCATCTGTTTAATATTGTTTTTAAGGTGACCGTCATCAAAAATTCACTTGCATGCGCACAATCGAACAATCATGAGCACCTTGAGCATGGCAAGAAATGATATTTAAATATATAAGAATCAAAGATCACAAGAAAATATAAGAAAATGCAACCCTCACCGGGACCCTCACTGTCACAACTCTCCGTGTCCGCCGTGTCCGCCGTGTCCGCCGTGTCCCATGGTTTTTTCAGCGCCCAACCTGCAGGACTCGCAGGCTCTGTGGGTGCTGCAGACCCGGCTGCTTCTGTGGGCTCCTGAAAAGTTTGGTCGGGTCTGGTGCTGGTTGGATCCAACTTGGATGGTTTGAGCTTGTTTGAATCTGTTTGAGATGTATTTGGTTAAAATCGGTATAAATCGGTTAAAACATCTCTGATAAAAGGAATTCACAACGTTCTGGTTGTTCCAAGAAGAAGCTTTGCAATTGGGTATAGGCTATGTTAACAAAAACCATGTCTGCTTTAGCCTGTATAGAGGCAGATGTTCAAATCAATCTTATTGCATGCTTTGCATTTTTGGCTACAGTATCATAATGAGTATGACAAAGGACGTGCCATTTGAGTTATGTTTTAATTGATTCATGGCAAAGTTCCTTACTCTTCCGACATGGAGCTGGCTTTGCCTCTCTGGACTGGAGCAGCATGTTACTTGCCCAAAGGATGTCATGACTCAATGATCCATCTTTCTATTTTGATCCAGTTCTTCGGGCAGCTTCAGAAGTCCGTGGGCATCTCTTCAACTCTGTGTGTACAGGTTAGCAATCATTCTTGGCGAAAAATATTCCAATATTGGGATTAACCGCGTACGTTGTCCGGGACTCCACTGAACTGCAGTCCTCCCTCTCTGGTGCGCACGCCGCTACCGTCACATCAATCTCCACCTGGGCAGTTGATGATGAAAACATAAATTATATCATTGTCGCGGCGTTAGCTGTGAAATTCCAGAATTTTTTGGGAGGCAGCAAGAAAACCAATCGTGGCTAGGACATTCTGCCAACGTGCTCTAGCTGCGCTGCATCAACCAAAATTGCAATTTTGACAACGCCGAAGACAAGGATGAAGACAAGGAGAAGACCTATAACTACGGCAAATCCCTTGTAATTGTTGAATAATTCCCAACAAGCTGGATAGTATGGCCCCCATATAATCATCAACCAAAAATCATTCATCAATTCTACCACCAAATGAGGCTTAAAACATCTTAACTGATGGTTCGGTAAGTTAAACCCCCATCAACTGGGAACATCAACCAGGGTACTAAAGAATCAATCAGAATCCAGTTATCCATGAATTAAATAACTAATCAACCAGGGTAACCACTGAACCGCGCCATACGAGGGGAAACGCTGGGCACTTGCAGTCGAGATTCAGGAGGAGCCAAGGCTTCAGCACTCCTCCATGTCGCATTTTTTGGGAGAACGTCAAAACGAATCATGGACACGGGCATTGGATAGATCAAGATCTGTGTATTATATCCGCCGACCCCGGCAGACGCAAGGGGGAGCGCACCAGGGAATAAGAGTTCCAACACCAGCACCAACACCACAATCATGACGGCTAGATTATAACAACCAACACCACAACAATAATAATAATAACAACAACAGCAACAACAACAACAACAACAACAACAGCAACAACAACAACAGCAACAACGACGACAACAACAACAACAACAACAACCACCACAACCACAACCACAACCACAACCACCACAACCACCACAACCACCACAACCACAACCACAACCACAACAGCCACAACAGCCACAACAGCCACAACAACCACAACAACCACAACAACCACCACAACCACCACAACCACAACAACCACAACAACCACAACAACCACAACAGCCACAACAACCACAACAATGACAATAACCACAACAACCAGGACAACCAGGACAACGACAACAATAACCATAACCATAACCACACGAGTGGCTTGCCCTACGAGTGTCCCAGGGCGGCTAGAGCTCTAAGCCGCCGACCCTCCGACCCCGGGCCCCGAAAAAGACCAAAAATCCTTCACTCTGCTGAGGGAAAGCTTTTTGGACGGAATCGCGGTCGCGATTAAGCGTCTCCAAGAGCATTCCCCCGCCCCCCCCTCCGTTTTGATGGTAATTACCTAAAATCGGAATGCTATAAATTACGACATTTTTGCGTTTTAACGTCTTTTGCGGGAAAAATGCAAAAACGCAGTGCTGTAAATACCAATACTTTTTTGGCCAGAGATGCACAAAACACTGCAAAGACCAGTGTTTTGGAAGGCCAAGCAAAAAACATTGTAATTACAGAATTTTTGGCGGGTTGATCGCAAAAAATGCTGGTATTTACACGGTCTTTGGAATGTCAAGAAAACGTGGAAGGCACGAAACACTGTAAATAGCAGTGTGTTGGCCACTTTTGGGCGCTGATTTTTTCCACCGTGATGGTACCATTTGGTACCAAACCCCTGTAAATTGCAGCATTTTTGCATTTTTTGAACCGATTTCTTGCCTTGAAGAACGTAAAAAACGCTGGTATTTACGTTTTTCAAAAAATTGAAGATCGTGACGTGAATGAAACCCCGCAAATAACAGCGTTTTATCCACCCTCCCTCGGGGACTAAAACTGTGGTATTTACGCGGGTTCTTGCCATCTGACAGCGCAAAATGCTGTACATTACAGCACTTTGTGCGCTGTTTGTTTTTAAACGAGCGATGCTTTCACATGTTCTTGGCATTCTTCAACAAGAAACGACGTTACAGATTGTAACTAGACGACAGTGTGGCCCAAAAGAAAGCTGGAGGGGGGAGACGAGAAGATAGCACACAAGAAAATATGATGATGAATGCTGCTGGTGAGCTCTTACACAGGCGCGTTTGCACACAGAAGCTTTTACGCACCGAAGCTTTTACACACAGGGGCTTTTACACAGAGAAGTCTTTTCACAGAGCGGCTCTTAGACACAGAAGTTTTACACACAGAGGCTTTTACACAAAGAAGTCTTTACACAGACGGGTTTTTACACGTAGAAGCTTTTACACAGAGAGAAGTCTTTACACAGAGAACTTGAACACACAGAAGCTTTTACACAGAGAAGTCTTTACACTAAGGAGATTTTGCACACAAACGCGTTTACACTGAGGAGCTTTTCTTTCACACAGAGAAGTGATTACACAGAGAGCTTTTACACACAGACACGTTTGCACACAGAAGCGTTTATATACACAGAGAAGCCTTTACACCAGAGCTTCTACACACAAGGGCGTTTACACACAGAAGCTGTTACACACAGACGCTGTTACACAAAGAAGTCTTTACACAGAGAGCTTTAACACACAGGCGCGTTTACAGGCAGAAGCTTTTTCACAGAGAA